CTTTTTTTACGAAATGAAGGTCCATTGCTATCGCTGAGACTCGGTGGACAGTACACGATGCACATGCTTCGATATACAATCTAATTTCGTACGACAGTTTTGTCGGACGTTACTCTGAAGATGCATCAAGTCCATTCAAAGGGTGAAATTAGTACTCGCCATCAGGCCGATCGAAATTCTTTTATCATCAGTACTTTAGTGTGTCTCTATGGGAAAACTTCAGCAGTAGGCTGGGCTGGAGAGTCATTAATGAGAGGCTATCTCTGAGAGTCATTTTGTCTTCGCTTGCTTCTGCACTTCTGAAGACATACAGTGAGGTTTCTAATCCCCAAAACGTTGAAATGCATACAGTTACACCTTCTTTGCCGGTTGCTTAATTTTGTCATCTTGGGGTGAGTTGGAATGTTCTTTAACACCCTGACTATGCTGTCCTGCTGACCCACGTCATCGTTAGTTTATAAATACTGAAACCAACACGTGTTGTACAGTCTATCGACTTCAACTTCTCTTCCGTCGACGTGCAATCCTCATCCAGTGGCTTTAGAGTCTGAGGCTGAAAAATTTCCTTTACCAGTCCGCAACCCAACGTTCCTTTTACTTGATGACTCCTTCCCGCTTCTCCTAAAGTCTTAATCCCCCAGGCCAACCTGTTATAACTATTCCTCATTAGCTCTTACATCTGCAACTCCAGGTACTTGGTACCTGGTGCACTCCCGAAATCGACTGTGTAAGTTACTCCACACACGTCGACACCTTTTTCTCCTATCCCTTCGCGTCTCTGAAATGTACATATAAACGAAACTTACTGCCTTCTATGTTGTTGCCCTGCTTGTCCATTCTCTTCCAAGGGAGTTGGACAAAGCCTGTCGTGCATACGTACATGCGTATTTACATTCCTTAGCTACTCTTCTGCCACGTATGAGGACAGTTCTCCATTGGGGTTGTTTCTGAATTCACGCATTGCCTCTTTTTGCACATCCTACTCACATAATCTTGCAAACTTAAATTTATACTTTCCTAACAACGGTGATGGCTCCGAAGGTCCCATCCTATTCTCTCGTCCCTCTTAGTTGCGTACTACTGACCCCATTTCACCCACTGATCCCCCGTGTCACATGTGCCGAAGACCTAATTAACCAACCTGCCAAACACAGCGGCCATATCGAACTTCTTAGGGGGAGCTCACAACATGCCTCTGTCTGTTTAGCAAATCATCATCCGAGCCTTTTCTGCCGTATGTTTTTTTCAAGTGAGACCTTATCTTTTGTATATCTGACGGTCGCCCTAGTCTCTCACATTTCCTGGTACCTTGACGCAGAAACCAGTACTAATAATATTTTACGAACTTACTTATTATATCAGACGCTAAATTACCACAAAATGCTTACTTTCCTCCGCTTCTGATTCTCATTCTTTCCTAGTCGATACTATAGTATGGCGGAACTTTCCACTAGTCAGACTCTTTGGTGATCCCATTTTTGAGACAACGCTCACTCACCTTCATTTTGATCTAATGACTTCTAAGACACTCCATTCAGTCAGTCAGACTAGCCTGATATCTCATTTCTAATGTCAGCTTTCCGTGAATCGGTCAGTCTATTACTGATGCAGTGTGTGATGTATCGGGCGACGAAAAAGCGAAAACTGAGGTCAGCCTCAACAGCTTGTTTTATCTCGTTGTCTAGTCTGTTTTGATCTTACCCATCCATAGTGTATGAAGTATTTTTCGCTGTTCTTCTTGATGATCTTGAAGTGAAAGCACCCCGCCCGTTAAAGTTTCTCAGAAACTTTCATCAGGATTTCTGGCGGGACTTTGAAAAATGAGAACTCTTGCCAGGTTCGCCAACCATTATTACGGCCAGTAGAGTATGTCTGATATATACTTTTGTCCAGAGTCTTCACGAAGTCTTCGTAAACTGTATAGAAAATTACGTTGGCATAAATGTCAACTCTGCCCCTCTGTTGTTTGCTAATCTTCAAATCCGTCCTACCACCCCGTCGGCTCAGTTTCTGTACACATTAGTGAAGACGGTACTGTCATTGCAAGTATGGAAATGACATTGCTTCAAGTAGTTGCTCCAAATCTATTAAGACTTAAGTGGGTCCGAACGCCGAGCGGCCTGTTTTAAATAAAATCTCTACTTAGATGAGGAAGCGTATAGTTCAATTATCAGGAAATCACTCTTATTAATAGTTCACTTTTGTCACTTTAAAAAACGCTTTTTCCCTACTCGCACTTGATCTAATCCAGACACGGTAAAATTTGTTTTCAGAAGTCAAAGTCCCGAATGGACATGTCATTTGATTGCTGAACTTGCATATCAGCTGCTCGGTAGTGAAGGGGTCAGAAGCAAAACAGTTTTTATCTAAAAAATGTATTTGTAAACGTTCTATCGCTTCTCTTTACTATATGACCTCGTTTTTCTGGGATGTCAAGGCCTCCTGACGCCTAAACTCTAATTGGATGTAATCCGAAGTCAAAAAACGACCTTAAAGGCAGCCACAAATGCCTAACCCCTTCTCGGCATAGGTGATTATAAGAATAGAGTTCGAAGGCCAACGGAACGCCGAAGTGCGTAGGTAGTAACCCAAAATGCAAGTCTAAATCACAATCCCTGGCTATAGCCTCAACTCTAGTTCAAAAATTAAATCATTCCTCACCCCAAACCTAGCAATAACCCCACTCCCAATCTTAACAGTAATGCCAGTCCTAACACTAAAAGTAGCCAATATCTTCACTCTAAAACAAACCCTAGCCCCAGCTCTATAATTAATTCTGCCACTCCTAGACTTTCAATCGAAAACCCCATCTATGAAACCATAAGTGAAATCCAACCCACATGGCAGCCCTAAAGCCGTCTAGCAGGCAGGAAAACTCTGATAGAGAATGCCTAGGTACTTAGACCCCCACAAAGCACTCACCTTGTCCGCTACATCCCCCTGCCCCCCAGCACAAATTTTATCGTCCCAAACCAAGAAACCTAACAGCAACACGTACGACAGTTCGACCGTCGGTTCCGACTATGCTCATCGAGTGCTCTACAGCAAGGTGAGAAAAGGCACGGCGGCTCGTGCGCGAACTAGCTACTAGTGACAGCGTACTTGCACAGCACCTACCGCACTTTCTCTCCTGCTCGAGCCCGGTGGGACGACAGTCAAGAAGACGGAAGGCGGGGAGTATGAAGGTAGATGGCACGGCCGGACCCGCACCCTTGCGCTCCACTCCACACCCCCTGGTCCACAACATACGCTTGACCAGGATTTTTTATCAACAACCATAGCAACAACACTCTAGAAAAGGTCAGAAGGACGACGATAACTAGGCAGCCATGCCCACCACCAGTATACCAGATGGGAGCGCAAACGCATCTACCGGCAGGGAACCAGGTGTCAGGGAACTACCAGCGCATGTCAGGCTGCGAGGGCCACGGTTTGCCTATACTGGCATAGCACATGCTTTCAGACCCTTTGAACTATAAGGGCGACACGTGGCACTGCATTTAGCATGGACCGTCACCCTTCAAGGTCGGGTAACCAATCAGTCGTCGACTGAGAGGCACACCCAGAAAGCACACATACAAACGAAAACACTCTCCTCACATTCATGAGTGTCACAGATAGCCTGAGAAGGGGCCGTGGCAGCCTGACTCTCAGCCTACCAGTCCACCACTGCACACAACGCACAACTGGGCAGACTGCGTGGACTGGGTTGGAGCGTCAGTCGGCTGTCTTCCGAGCCACGGAGCTCGACGCACCGACTTCGTCTCAGACTCCGATCACACATGCAGCGGAGTAGACGCATGAGCAAGGAGCCGAGAAGCACACTTGACACTTGCGTGGGGGGTGGCAGTTGGGCACTTGCGGTGGGTGATATTGATGTGCGGTGAGATGCTGGTGAGGAAGGATGTGATGATGGCGCAGCCGGCACTTGTCTATCGTAAGTGGATAGTGGAGGCGGATGCGGTGGGTGTAGGTCTATGCTCCAGGCACTGGTTCGCCGTTATCTGTGTTGTGGATGCGCAAGTGACCGACCAGGTCAATGTGTGAGGTGAAGGTGCGGTAGCAATGAGGACAGGTAAAGACTAGGTCCTCATAGCTAGTGTTGACGGTAGTGGTGCTGGTGTTTGTTGGTGTGTCAGGATGGACATGTCAGACGCCACAGCGTCATGCGTTGAGTTGGTGGAGGAAGAGGGTGGTAGTGGTGGTTCGGGAGGGCGGTAAACGTCGGATGACGGTGTGGGAGTTGAGGAAGAGGTGGACGGAGAGAAGACGATTTGTGCAGTTCGGGTGCTGCTGTCTGATAAGTCCGCTTGGAGCCCGGAATGACCGTAGGCATCATGGACACGTTGAAGATGGTTGGGCATTGGCGTTGTGAGGCGGCGGCGGTGGCAGCAGCAGCAGCAGCGGTGGCACTTTAGATTTGCGTGTCTTGCGTTTGACTTTGGCGGCGGTGATACCGTCAGCTTCGAAGATTGCTGCACCTGTCTGCATTGTTCACCCTCACGTAGGTCAGTCTCTGGAGATGTCTTCCCAGTTTGCCGGGCTAATCTGCAGGCGCTTCAGGGAGGTATTCAGAGTATCTTAGTAGCGCCGGAATTCACCTCCTTGTCGGCGTGAACCTGTCGCGACATCTCCATAGAAGAGTAGTTTGAGTAGCCTCTTATCGTCCATCCGTACGAGATGGCCGCTCCAGTATAGTTGTAGTTGTCTCAGCATAGCGTAAATACTGGGGATTTTATCTGCTCCAGCACGTACGTCTCTGGGATCCGGTCTTGCCACCTCAGCTTCAGTCTTCGACGAAGACAGCTGAGGCGGAAGTGGTTGAGACTGCGTGCTTGCTTCATGTACAGCGTCCAGGTCTCTTCCCCATACAGCAACGTCAGTAGGATGACGGCCTTGCACATCTTCCGCTTGGTGCTGAGTCGAAGGCCGTGACTATTCCAAACTGTGCTTTGAAGACGATTGAAGGCTCGACTGGCCTTGGAAATCTGGCAGGCCACTTAATCGTCGATTTTGGTGCTGCGGGAGAGCGTGCTGCCCAGGTAGGTGAAGTTGTCCACGACTTGCAGTTGGGCGCCGTTCACGCTGATTTGCAGCGCATTGTGGGCAGCGTTAGGTGGCAGTCGGTGCATGAGCACCGTCTTGTCCGTGTGTATAATCAGCCGGAAGTTCCCACAGCCGGCGGAGAACAGATCCATGCTCCTTTGCATGTCTTCTTCATTAGTTTCACTGAGGGTGCAGTCATCAGCGAAAAGAAATGTTTGGACGGTAGTTGTGGAAACATGCGATTGAAAGTGCATCCTGTGGTGGCTGTGCAGTTTACCGTCCTTTATCTGCAACCGTTTCTGATGATGGGTTCGAGCGAGAATTCGAAACGTCAGAAGAATAAAATTCTTGTTCCAATGATTTGCACTGTTCCAATTGTGAACTGTTTCCTGGATTTCGCCTGCTCAATTCTATTAGCAACCTTTATCCGCAATCCTCTCGGATGATGGGTTTGAGTCATGCCAATAAACTTCTCGTTTCAGTGATAGCATCTTCTCCCGAGTTGATCGTCCGTTCTGTAGGAGACGCGAATCTCGGGGCGTTCTTTGGTGTAGGCGTCCATCAGCATGACAGAGGACATGAGACTGAGCAGGGCAGGCACGAGGACGCAGCCCCGCTTTACTCCGTTGGCCACTTCGAATGCCTCTGAAACACTTCCACTGTCCATGACTCCCGCCATCATGCCATCGTGGAGCTGACGCACCACCTAGGTCAATCGCTCTGGACAGCCGAATTTCTGTATCATTTTCCACATTCCTTCGTGATTCACCGTGTCGAAGGCTTTAGTCAGACCCACGATGGTAGAGTAGAGGCGGGTCAGCATCTTCTGACACTTCTCCTGCAGTTGACGGGCGGCAAAGATCATTTCCGTGGATCCACGATGACGACGGAAACCGCACTGGCTTTCCGGCAGGAGACCCTGTTGCAGGTGGTTGTTCAGGTGGTTGAGAAGAATGCGAGCGAAGATCTTCCCAACGATCTTCAACAGGGAAATTCCTCAATGGTTGGCGCAGATTTAGCGGTTTCCTTTCCACTTGTAAGGGTGCACGATTGTTGCTTCCTTAAAATCCTGCGGAATTCCCCTTGACGCCACATCTCCTGGAACAAACAGCGGACTTAAGACAGCCCTGATCGAGACGAAGAAGTTCTTCCATTAGTTGCTGTCCATGTAACCTTGGACCTCCTCGGCTTTGCGAGCCGTCCAGGCGTCCTGCATTTCCCGCAGCCGCTGTTGCACTAGGCGGCGACTACGGTAGAAGGCTGCTCTGTTGTCGTCGGTGAGACGGGTGACGTAGGCTTTGTGAAGGCGGTTTTCCCCTGCGAGCAGGTTGCTGATGGCAGCGTCGTTGTCATCAAACCAGTCCGAATGTTGGTGTCTTGCTTGAACGAGGACAACCAGGACCGTCGACTGGACTGTGTCTCGCAACTGAAAATATCGGTTCTTCATGGAGGCGTTCTCGTCAGCAGCGGCGGCGGTGGCGGAGGCAGCAGCGGAGACTGGAAAGTTGGCTAGCCGTTGAACTAGCTGGTTGTTGAAATGGAGATGGTGAGCAGAAAAAGACAACAAAGCAATTTTCAGCTTACCCGGGTATCGCTAACCTTGAGTTCTCCTGTGAGACTGTAGGCGAATCCGCATCTTAGAGATGACAAAGCAATGGTCAGTCAACCCATCGGCCCGTCGGTCTCGCCTCCGGACGAGGACATAGTCCAACGCGTGCCAACGTCCGGACCGAGGGTGCATCCAGATGGCCTCTTCTCGCATCGGGAGGCGGAAGTGGGTGTGGACCAGGGTGAGCTGGTTTTCTGCGCAGGTTTGAAGAGGAGCAGGCCATCGGCATTGGAGCCGCCGAGACCATGCGGACCCAGCACTCCTCTCCGGGCATCATGGTCTGAGCCGACGCGGGCGTTGAAGTCATCAAGCACTACCAACTTGTCCGCCTTCGGTGCGGTCGCCAGGAGGGCGTGCAGGTCCTCGTAGAATTTGTTCCTTGCATCGTCAGGGCTGGTCACCGAGGGAGCGTAGACGCTAATGATGGTGGCAAATTTGCCTCCCCGAAGAAGCAGGCGGAGGCTCATCCGGCGATCGTTGATGCCCTGTGGAAGACAGGGCAGTCTTCCCACGATGTCGTTCCGGATGGCAAAGGTGACGCCTGCGTCCGGTCGTGCTGCTTTGGGACGACCGCTCCAGAAGGTGTAGCCGACGCCAACCTCCTCCAATTGGCCTTGTTCGGAGAAGCGGGTCTCGCTGAGTGCAGTAATGTCCACCTTGTATCGCGCTAGTTGCCGAGGCACTAGCGCCGTCCTTCTTCCCGACCGGTTGCTCTTCTGGTTGTCTAGAATGGAACGAACATTCCAGGCTGCCAGAGTGATCGGACTCACCCTACCAGTCTGGCAAGTGGGACGGTGGGGAGGAGGGTGAGGGGGAAGAGAGAGAGCGTTGTTTCGATCTTGATTGTTTCGACCGTGTGTTTTGCGTCTGCGGCCGTGGTCTGCCTACAGACGGCGTGGGTCCTCGGCATTTGTTTATGGCACCTTTTCTAGCCACTTACTCCTCTCGGGCGTGGGCAGTGGTCTCCCTAAATAGGACTGCTCAGTTTTCTCAGACGGCTGCCGAACTCCACTATGGGTCACGACCTTTGTTTAGTGGGAGAGCGACCCGAGTTAGCCTGAGACTGCCTACGACATCGCCGTAAGCTTGGAGGGGGAGAGGAGAGAGTAGAGAGACGGGATGCAGATTTCGCCCGTCCCTGTCTGAGCTAGCTGGCTGCTGAAATGTAAACAAATTCAAAAGAATGACATTTAGCTAACAATAAGGACAGACACAAACAAGCAGACAAAAAGCAGGTAGGCAAGAACAGCAAAAAGGCAGCACAGGAAATTTGACAGAGCAGCATTTAGCTTTCAACAAGGACAAGCGCATACAAGCGTACAGAGAGCAAGCAGACAAGAACAATCAAAAGCCAAGGCATCAGAGCAACGTTCGCTTACCTGGGGGCTCGCTTACCTTGTGGCCTCCTACCGTGTTCCAGATGCAGCCACATCAGGGTGATGCCAATGCCTTCCAGCGGAGCAAAGATTACCGCGTGCGGATATGCACACACGGATACCCTCACCTGGTTTAGCCCGCCGATCGAGGCGGTTGCCGGGGTGTGGCCGCTAGGCACAACCGAGCTTCGGAGAGCCACATGTGGGAGTTTGGTGCCAGCAAATGGACGCTAGGTGTAGTCTACACGTGCAAGCAAGCGAACGACCTACTACGACCGTCACGTGGACCCACCGCCGGATACCGTCACACCCCAGCAACACGTACAGTAACCTGAAGACCAACTGACCTTATTCTAACTAGCAGTATTACATGCCTACCTAAATCAAATAAGTAGCAAACTACGTGGCATCACGAACACGGTCATAAACACTAGGTGCTTTTCCAGAAGTATTCTGATGCCATAGTGCTTGGAAAGAGTCGCATGTACGCCGCCGTTTCATTTGAATATGAATATATGACCAAGATTACACAATTCTTTCGGTTAAATGTTAATGAGTCCATCGAAGGGAGCATACAATTATTCCGACTTCTTTCCTAGGCGCTATTATTTTATGAATTTTCGTTCCTGTAGCTTGCATGCGTACTATCTACCATGCAAACACTCTTTTATTATTCACGTTAAAAACCCTAGTTCTGAGAGTTCCTCATAGACAGGCTATCCATCTGTAACGTCAGAGCAAGGCTTGTATCGCGTGACCTTTGTTAGTCGAGTTGCACTGAATCTGCGCCAGTGCTAATGTTTTTCGTAGATTTGCGTTGACACACGCCGGACGGAGACTCACAACGGGTGAGCTACTGATCCCGATTTTGTCCACGGTCGGTTCGTTTAGGACAAGGCAATAGAATCTAGGGGAGACAAGAGATTGAAGTCGTTTCAGATCAGATCAAACAGTATTTCTTCGCCAGTAGCAGGCAAGCGCACCGTGAAATGGTTAGGATGCATTTAAATTTTCTTAGTTGGTGGGATAACATGACTAATGGGAATGGAGGGACAGACTGGAACAAGCCATACCAATAAACCCCTGACCTCAAACCGCATTTTTCGTAGAGCACGAGAATTTCCTTGTTCACTGAATCCAGGTTCGTGTGAAATTGTTTAACAGGTTGAGTACTGGGTTGTATGGCTTTGCAAACCACTGCGCCCACGCCCTTCCTGAATAGTCTTGGATTTGTTTGTCAGTGGAATTTGCTGGGTGTGAGATGAGTCATCTCAAGTATGCTTCGTCATAAAAAGGCAAATAATCATCGTCCCCTTTCTCACTCCAGATACTGGCAGTCCTCAATGTTTGCGACGGGCACACTATTTGTCATAACAGCTTCTGTTACACATTCGTAACGTGGCCTAACCCGCAGTGCATCACAAGTGCATGCATGTATATATGCATGTATGTATGTGGGATGTAGGGGTATCCACTTGTGGGTCCACGTGATGATTTCAGTAGGTCGCTCACTTGCTTGCACTTGTCGACCACTCCTGACGTCCATTAACTGGCGCCAAACTCCCGCATGTGGCTCCCCGAAGCTAGGTTGTGCCTAGCGGCCACCGATAATTGCTTCGACCGGCGGGCTAAACCAGGTGAGGTTATCCGCGTGTGCATCTCCAAGCACGATAATTATGCTCCCCACCCACCTCCGCCAGCCGTACAAATCACCGCATCGCCACCTCCCAGATGAGGCTCCGTCTGTAACCCCCACAAGTACTAAACAAGCTACTGACCCACTGACTGGAAGACCTGCCGCTTTCTGCTCCTTCGCGCCTTTTCCCCGCCCTTCTCCTCTGCCATCCACCCTTTCTATACTCTCTACTCTGCTGTCTTACCCCACGGTGTAAAGTACTACAGCGAGAACAGCAGCAATCACGTTGGCGGCCCAGTCCATTGGTCATTCTCTCACCAAAGCCCGTGACCCATAGTGGAGAGCCGCATCCGTCTGATGCGACAAAGCTGCCCAATTTAGGGAGGGCAGTGCTATCCCCCGCGAGGGAGAGGGGCTATAAAACGTGCCCTGAACAATGCTCGGTTCACGACATCTGCGCGCAGATCGTGGCTCGCAGACTGCTAAGCATGCGGCCAAAACAAAAATACGAGACTCAGCACTTCCTCTCTCTCTTCCTCCGCCACCCCACTCACCTACAGGCAAACTTAAACGGCGCCCAACTGCAAGCCGCGGACAATTTCGAATACCTGAGTAGCACCCTCTCACGCACCACCAAGATCGACTATGAAGTGGCCCGCCGGATCTCTAAAACCATCCAAGCCTTCGCCCGTTTGCAAAGCTCCGTCTGGAATCATCACGGTCTCCACCTCGGCATCAAACTGAAGATGTGCAAAGCGGTCATCCTACCGACGCTGCTATATGGAGCGAAGACCTGGAAGGGGTATAAGAAGCAGGCACACAGGCTCAACTACTTCCACCTCGGCTATCTTCGACGGATGTTGGAGCTGAGGTGGCTGGACCGGATCCCAGACACGGGCGCACTGGAACGGACGGGACTCCTCAGTATCTACACTATGCTGAAACAATTACAACTGTACTGGAGTGGCTACTTTGCGCGCATGGACGACGAGGGTTTCCCAAACGGCCTTTCCAGGGAGATGTCGCCATGGTTTCCCGCCAATAAGGAGATCAAGTCGGGCGCTAAAGCGATACCCTAAAAACTTCTCTGAAGTGCCTGCAAATCAACTCGGTCAACTAGGAAGACCTCGTCTGAGACCGATCGAATTGAAAGAGCGCATTGAGGACAGGCGCAGCAATCTACGAAGCCAACCGCTACACCGCCACCAAAGCCAAACGCGAAGATTGCAACTCTCAACTGCCCTCACCTCGCAACGCCAACGCTCAACCGCTCCCGACCTGCCCACGATGCTACTGGAGGTTCCGGGCACCAATCGGTCTTATTAAACAACTTCGAACCAGCTGCAACACCCGGACGACACCACCCGATGTCAGCTTTCGCTGCCATCCTCCATCGCCTCAACATTAGCTACGGCGTCTCCTATACTCACCACCACTGCACTCAATCCTGACAAACTGATGAACATCAACCTTACCACCGTCAGCACCAGCGAAGTGGACCCGGCCCATACCTGTTCTCACTGCGATCGCACTTTCACCTAACACGTCGACGTGGTCGGTCACTTGCGCATCCATAGCACAGAGACTGGCGAACCAGTGCCTGGAGCACCAACCTACACTCGGCGCAGTCGCCTCCACTGTCCACACTGCATCCGCACATTCTTTCACCGCATGGACTTATTAGGTCAAATGCGCATTCACGAAAACCTGCGGTAGACAACCGCTGACTACACCACACCAGCACACTTTCTCCCACCAGTACCCGCCCCTTCCGACACCATCATCCATCACAAGCCCTCGACTGCCACCTCCCACGCAAGTGGAAAGTTGGCTTCCCGACTCCTTCTCCATACTGCTCCTGTGATGTTTGTACAGTAGATGACCTAACTCATGAAAGGGGTCGAAATTTACGAATGGTTGCCAATCACTCGCAAACCAACACAAATTCATGGATCCAATATCTATGTTAATTAAGTGCAACTTTGTAATAGTTAAAAACCTAAAAGAAATACTAAAGGCAGTGTTGTGTTGCTTTGAAATGCCGTTCTTAGAAAATCGCAAAATCCCGAAAACTTCAAAAAAGGCTGCATTTAAGAAAACCTCGTTTTTAGGTATAAAGAATGTCTTCCTATGCAAAAGCGAAGTAAATATGAGAGTATAAATAAAATAGTGCTTAAAAATAGTATTTTAGAGAAGTTTACATCCAATAAGGGTCAGCGTAATTTCATATATGGTGGTTTGTCAACAGCCTATATTCTGAGTATAGATTCCAAAACAGTTTTCCAGGGATTCGTGGAATTCTTAATTCCTTTGAGTCGAGTGAGATGCGATTTAACGAAAGAAACGGGAGTTTGTCTGATTTAGCTGATGTGGACGTTGTAGGAACAAAAGTTTTCATAAGGTCACATGCTGCCGGGCCGATCGGTATGATCCAAGTCCGAGACCAATACGGTGCGCCAAGCGTCGTAACTTGAAGGGTGCCGGCTGACGCCCAAACTCTGTCCACGCAGTCTGCCAATTTGTGTGTGTTTTAGTGGGGTGGCGGACTTGTGGGCTGAGGGCCAGGCTGTCACGGCTCCTTCTTAAGTGATCTGTGACATTCACGCATGTGAGGAGTGTGTGTGCTTTATGGGTAGTGCCCCTCGGTCAACCACTCTTTGGATACCCAGCCTTGAAGGATGACGGCCCAGGCAAATGCAGGGTCACCTGTCACCCTGGAAGGTCTGGAAGCGTCTGCTATGCCACGATCAGCAAACCGTAGCTTTCTCAGTCTGGCATGCGCTGGCACCCCTCTGACACCTGGCTCCCTGACGGTAAATGCGCTTGCGCTCCCGCCGGGTATACAGGTCGTGAACATGGCTTCCCAGTCATCCTTGTCCTTCTGACCCGTTGTGGTGCTGCTATCAGTCAAAATCCTGGTAAAGTGTTGTGTGGTGTGGAGTGGAGCACCAGGTTGCGGGATCGGCTGCGCCAACCACCTCCGCCTTCCCCGATCTCCGGTCTTCTTGACTTTGTCTGGACACCGGACCCAGGAGGAGGAGAGTGTGCGGTAGGTTTAGCGCAAGTCCGCATTCAGTATAAACTACATCACGCGCAAGTCGGCGTGCCTGTTTCACCTGGCTGTGGACGACACGGTGGACATCGGCGGGACTGTTGAGCTGTCTTGTATGTCCTTATGCGTGCCCCTGTGCCCCCCAAACGTGCCCCGTGGTAGATGTGCTGAACCAAAAAGGGGGCCATATCGGACTCTGGCAGGCGTTGTCGGAATGCGTACCGTAACAAATGCCAAAATGTTCGGGTGCGGTGCGGTTTCATACCCAGTTGCTGACCGACGTCACGCACACTGGGACCCTGCGGCCCTCCCCATTGTTATTGTTGTTTAAAATCCTGGTCACCTGTTGAGCGGAACAGAGGGTGTGGCCTGGAACGCCATGGTGCGGGCTTGTAGTGGCCCTATTCCGAGCGCCCGTCTCAACGCTGGGCCTCCCGCGAGTGTCTGCACGTGCGCACCGGGACTGTCCGGCATTAGCCCACTCGGCTTTCTAACCGCCCAATCAGATTCAAGGCCGAGTCAGACGTGTCCTGGCTTAGGACGCTTTAACGCGTTCCCTCGGACACCTGGGACGCCGCTCACCCGGCGCTGGGCACGTCCTTGTCCGCCTGCCAACTCTCTCCAACTCCGTCTGTGCTGAATATATTATCCTCCCCACTGGCGTCCTCCTTCTCCGTCCGTTCGGGACCGGGTCTGAAGGTCGTGGTAGCCAAGGTCTCACTCTCGGTCTAGCCTGCCGCGATAGGCTCGACCGTGCCATCCACCCACGCCCTCCCCCGCCTCCGGTCTTCTTGACTCTGTCTTGACACCGGGCTCAGGTAGGGGAGGAGAGAGTGCAGTAGATGCCGCGCAAGTCATCGTCCATGCCCTCACCATGCTGTGGAGCACACGGTGGACATCGTCGAAATCGACGGTCGAACTATCGTGTGTGGTGTGTAGCGGCGGACTGGTTGGCTGAGAGTCGGGCTGTCACGGCCCCTTCTCAAGCTATCTGTGACATTCCCATGAGTTTGAGGAGAGTGTTTATGCTTGTATGTGTGCTTTATGGGTAGTGCCACGCAGTCGAAGACTGATTGGTTACTCGACCTTGAAGGGTGACGGTCCATGCTAAATGCAGTGCCACGTGTCGCCCTTATAGGTCAAAGGGTCTGAAAGCATGTGCTATGCCAATATCAGCAAATCATGACTCTCGCAGCCTGATATGCGCTGGTAGTTCCCTGACACCAGGTTCCCTGCCGGTAGATTCGTCTGCGCTCCCGCTGGGTATACAGGTGGTGGGTATGGCTGCCTGGTCGGCCTCGTTCTTCTGACTCTTGTTGGGGTGTTGTTATTGTGGTTTTTGATGAGAAATCCTGGTAAAGTGTATGTTGTGAAACAGAGGGTGTGGTGGCACGCCTAGGTACGAGTCCGGCCGTGCCATCTATCTTCATCCTCCACCGCCTTCGGTCTTCTTGACTGTCGTCCTACAGGGCTCGGGCGGGGGAGAAAGAGAAAGTGCAGTAGGTGCTGTGCAAGTACGCTGCCATTATAAGCAGATTCGCACACAAGCCGCCGTGCCTTTTCTCACCTTGCTGTAGGGCGCACGGTGGGTATCGTCGACAACGCCGGTCAAACTATTATGCATGCATGGTCATTTACGATGAAATAATTTTTTTATGGGAAGATGCTGCATCTGAATGACAAGGATCATACTAATTCTGAAATCCACCTTTATGTGCTATTTGATTTGCTACTATCCCTGCTGCCTAATGTTAAAGAAGAGCTGTCTTTGTCGTGGCGTTTTGCTTCCCGTGGTGGATTAACTGAAATGCTCGCAAAGTCTAGCGCATATTTCTTGAGGAAACACGCTTTTGTCTCTGCCTAGCTTTCCTCCTCTTAGAACTGGATTGTTCCATTTAGTTCGGCTGTCTTCTGGTCCCTTTCAAGCCCATTTTACCTCAGGACCCGTTGGAGTCTCGTTAATTTACCTGGTATTATGGCATGGCGGAATAAGGGCGTTCAGTTTTGCAATGAGCCCGGATCACTGAGCTCTCGTGAACTGGCGCCGGCAAATCACCCGAACTTAAACATTCCAGTCTCCCTTGTCCCCACAAGCAGGCCTTCTCAACAAGCTTGCCCCCTTTACCTAACTTGTTAGAGCGGATTTGTTTTTGTGGGATTTATGTACGTGCAAAATTGTTGGCACTAAGAAATTATGTGCTAAATCAGTGTGTAGCATAGGCCAAGCGACGATGTACCAGTTAACTGGCACACGTGTGCGAGCAGTGCATGCGCGCACCGAAAACCGCTCTCACCAAGGCGCAGTTAGTAGCTGCCGCCTCATCATTCGCGCGCATTTCACCTCACAGGCCTCATTGTATCTCAGCCAATGGGAGTTAAAAGACGTTCACCGCTCTGACGGATTGGTTGGTATGTGATGACTCAATCAAATTTCGCGCATTTGTTGTAACACTGCTGCCAGTGCTCAGCTCGTAGGCCTTTCATTAAATAACACTTACTTTTGAAATTAGTGACAGCAGGTCAAGACAACTCATCCTGGTGTCTGCAATCTCGGATTTCTGATTCCTCAATATTCATTTCAAAACGATTGAACTTTCGGTGATGGATTTTACAGTCGGGCACCAGTTCCGATTGCTCTTTACTTTACTCCCTCTTTTCTGCTGTGTGTATGGACAATCCACATGCAGACTGTACAAACAAATACTTATGTGTCAAGGACAGTTGCCGAAACCTTATGAACTGACAGAAGACGTTGCCAAGGTAATCATTCACCGGCTGCCGGATGATGCATGGCTGTCAAATCCTGCGGAGGACGTCGCAGACAGGAATATTGAACAGGTGGAAATTCGCTCTTCTAAGATAGGCCATATCGAAGAGGGCTTTTTCAGCAGGCTGAGTGGACCCAATAGCCTGAAGAAGCTTGCCCTTCAGGGCGTGTCGGGTAGTGCAGTACTTGATTCAAGGACACTCGACGGTCTCTCGAGTTCTCTCAACGAACTGAGAGTAGCTGGAAAAATCGCCGTTGAC